TTATAATAATGTGCTTTTAGTGTGCTTTTCCGTTTGAGTCCCTGCTGTCTCATACTTTCTTCCTGTGCGGTATCTGCCCTGATTCATCAGTTAAGTTAGCCATTCATGTTCAAATGTTCTTTGTTAACCTATTAATCACAAACCAAAGTTATTGCTGTAAGGAATTTTCTGAAGAATTCAAGTGTCTCTAGGGAAAAAGGAGTGTCCCGTCACACGATCTGAAGTGTGTAAACCCTGGTTGCCTAAGGTAGGTGTTAATAACTGTCTTGTACCTATTGGATGACTTACGTGAAGGGTGTCTCCTTTTCGGAAACCTAGCTTCTCATTGACCAATCTACTCTCTGAGATGGTCCAACATACCCCGGGGGTGTGTAACATGTATTGTGCACCACTGTGGGTGGTTCCTAGACAGTGTAGCACATATGCCTCAATGAGACATAGGTGTGCTGAACGGGCACTTCTTCTTTTCTTCTTCCATTTTTAGAGTTCTATTTTTACTTCCTACACTTTTGGCAATTATCTTTGCAAGTGTTTACATCAAGGCATTCACAACTGTTAAGAGTCTGCCGACCAGGCAGTTTGATTTTAGCAGTTTCTTCCTTGCTCGAGCGAGGTAGGAGGGGCCGACTGGATCATAGTACTCTCTCTCTCTCTTTCTCTTTTACACACACCCCCTCTCATTGCAGCTCTGCCAGTTCGGACTATGCTCACTTCCAAGGAAGGCTGAGTGAAGGAGAGAACAGTTTTCCTTTTCTAAGTTTTTCCTTTGCCTCTGAGAAAGTTTGAGAAGAAAGAAGAAACCCTTTTGATGAGGAAGGAAGTTAGCTAAACAACAACGGACAAACAGGTTGTATTTATTTTTATCGTCTTTTTTGATTGAATTGGCAGCACGTGGCAGCAGGCTCTGCCACAGGACCCTGGAGAGTGAGGTCATTCAGTGATTTGTTCTTCTTTGGCAAAGCTGTTCCTGTTTACTCAGACTCTGCAAGACTAAGGAAGCACAATGGTTGCTGGAATGGTAATGCCCCTTGACAACCTGAAGGCCATCTATGAGCGTCTGTTTCGGGATGGCGTCATGGTGGCCAAGAAAGACAAGCGCCCTCAGACCATGCACCCTGAGATTCCTGGTGTGGGAAACCTGCAGGTGATGAGAGCTATGGGCTCGCTGAAATCCAGGGGCTATGTAAGGGAGACCTTTACGTGGAAGCATTTCTACTGGTACCTTACTAATACAGGGATCGTATACTTGCGTGATTACCTACATCTGCCTCCAGAGATTGTGCCCACTCCTCTACAGAGAGTACGACGGCCAGCTGCCACTCTGGCCATCGCCCGCAAGGCGGAACGGGTTCAATCTGTTGAGGGACCAACTTCTTATGTTCCCAAGCCTGGCAAAATGGGCGCAGAAAAACAAGAGGCTTTGATGGATCGACAGGGGTACCGTCGCAAAACAATGGGCATGGATGAACCTGAAATTACTGAATCCAATGACAGAACACCAAGATTTAGAGGTCGCCCAATGGCTAGCAGTCAGATCAAACCCAAAGGATCATGGGAATCCAAAGAGCAGCCAATGCTTTCTGATACTCGTGATTACACCAAAGAGATGGAACCAAGTGCTAGGAGGAAGGTTGCTATGCATTCAGTCTCTCAGATGCCTTCTATTGAAACTCGCCATGCTAAGCCAGTTGAACAGGAAAAGATGGTGGAATGCACCAAGACAGGATTCGTTCAGAAACCGCAAAAGGCTCATTTGGGCCCAGCAGTGGAATCCTCTTTGATTTCTGTCCATACTGAAGTAGCCAAAGAAAAGCCAAAAGAAGTGCCTATCAAGGTCTCTCATGAAACAACATCCACAGCAACTGACAATAGCAAAACCGCCTGGGATGCTCGTCGTCCTACTCCCTCAAAACCGAAGGTGGAGAAAACACAGAAAACCCTTGTGATGAAAAATATGCAGGATGTGACAACTGTTTCATCAGCAGAGGGAACAACTGCAGTGGAATCCTCTGTGTTTTCTGTCCATACTGAAGCAGTCAAGGAAAAGCCCAAGGAAGAGGTGTTTATGAAGGTCTCCCAGCAAACCACATCCACTGTAATAGTTGATAGCAAAACAGCTAAGGATGTTCCTCAACACACTCCTTTAAAACCCAAGGTGGCTAAAACACAGACAACAATTGTGGCCAAACATGTGCTGGATGTTTCAAATGTTTCATCAACAATGGGCACAAAAGCAGATGAATCCTCTGTGTCTTCTGTCCCTACTGAAGCAGCAAAAGAAAAGCCCATGGATGAGGTGTTTATTAAGGTCTCTAGAGAAACCACAGTCATGGGTGATATCAAAATGGATAAGGATGCTCCTCATTCTACTCCATCAAAACCAAAAGAGGAGAAAATGCAGAAAACCACAATAACCAAACATGTGCAGAATATACCAATTGTTTCGTCAGTGGGGACAGTGGTGGCAACAGCAGTGGGATCCTCTGTTTTTTCTGTTTCTGCTGAAGCAGTCAAAGAAAAGCCCAAGGAAGAGGTGTTTATAAAGGTCTCCCAGCAAACCACACCCAATGTAATAGGTGATGGAAAAACAACTAAGGATGTTCCTCAACATACTCCTTCAAAACCCAAGGTGGAGAAAATACAGAAAACTATTGTGGCCAAAAATGTGCTGGATGTTTCAAATGTTTCATCAACAGTGGGCGCAATAGCAGATGAATCCTCTGTGTCTTCTGTCCCTACTGAAGCAGCAAAAGAAAAGCCTACTGAAGAGGGGTTTATTAAGGTCTCTAAGAAAACCTCATCCAGAGTAGCAGATAATAGCAAAATGGCTAAAGATGCTCTTCATCCTAGTACCTCAGAACCAAATGTAGAGAAAACACAGAAAACACTGGTGACAAAAAATGTACAGGATGAGTCAACTGTTTCATCAGCAGTGGAGACAACTGCAGTGAAGTCCTCTGTGTTTTCTGTTTCTACTGAAACAGTCAAAGAAATACCAAAGGAAGAAGTCTGTGTCATTGTCTCACAGAAAACCACATTCAAAGGTGATAACAAAATAGATGAGGATGCACCTGGTCATACTCTCTCAAAACCGAAAGTGGAGAAAACCGAGAAAACCTTTGTGACCAAAAATGTGCAAGATGGCACGATTGTTTCAACAGCAGTGGAGACAATTACAGTGAAATCCTCTGTGTCTTCAGTTTCTAATGAAACAGTCGAAGAAAAGCCCAATGAGGAACTATTTGTCAGTGTCTCTCAAGACACCACATCCAAAGGTGATCGCAAAGAGGAAAAGGATGCTCCACATCATACTCCATCAAAACCAAAACTAGAGAAAAAGCAGAAAGCCACAAAGACCAAAAGTGTGCAAGATATATCAACTGTTTCATCAACAGTGGAAGCAACAGCAGTGGACTCCCCTGTATTTTCTGTCGCAGTTAACAACGAGCCCACAAAAGAGGCATTTATAAAGGTCCCTCAAGAAACCACATTTACAGTAACTGACGATATCAAAATGGCTAAGGATGTTCCTTGTCCTACTCAATCAAAATCAAAAGTGGAGAAAAAAAAGAAATCCAAAAAGACTAAAGATGTGCAGGATATACCAACCATGATGTCAACAGTGGAGGCAACCGCAGTGGAATCCTCTATATTTTCTGTCTGTACTGAAGCAGTCAACAAAGAGCCTAAAAAAGAAGTGTGCTTTAATATTTCTCATGAAACCACATCCACAATTGGCAGCAAACTGGATAAGGATGCTCCTTGTCCTACTCCATCAAGCCCAAAAGTGGAGAAAACGCAGAAAACCACGGTAAAAAATGTGCAAGAACAACCAATCAAGAACGAAAAAGCAGATGAGACCTCCATTGCACCACATCATGTGCCTGGTGCTAATGTGTATGAGGTGAAGTCAAATACCTCTGTTAGCTCTCAGTTCCCTGTCAAATCTCTAGAATCAGCAATGCCCCTTCTGCCGAAGAAAGAAGAAAATTTGGCAATACAAATTGCTGAAAAGAAATCAAAGATTAATCTACCACTGCAAACTTTTGAGCTTTCTGTAGGGGAGTGTGTCAGTAAGTCAGCCGTCACAGCAGTGCCAGACACAGCGTCTAGTACTGTTCAAATGACTGACAAGCAACAGAGAGTACTTGTTTCCCAAAAAACAAAAGAAACTCAAGATGCATCTAAACATGACAACACTAGTCCTTTAAAAGTTCATGAAAAGGTGGAGCTTCCTCATGCTATATCTACTGCTGAGGTTAAGGCAGAGGTTAAAGGTCACAAACCTGATCTCAGCCCTAAATCTCAGTCCCCATTTAAAGGTGCTGAAGTGAAGATTACCACAGCTGTCTCCAGCAAGACTTCAGAAGTAGTTGTGCAAACTTTGAAATCAAACATAGAGACACCAAAACAAATTGATTCTGTTCAACAAAAGTCATCATCAGCAAAACAGACTGAGGAACCTGCAGTCACCGAAGAGGCCAAAGTTGCAAAAGACATGGATACAGAGGATGCCTCAAAGCCTTTTAAAGGAAAGAAGAAAAAGCAGAAATCTTCAAACAAAACTCCTGCTGTAAAACAGGTCCCTCCGCCTATTTCTGAGACTAAAGTGACAGAGGTAAAGACAACAGCCCAGGATGCAGGTCAGGTTGAGGGCCCTGAGCAAGTTGCAACAAATGACTCTGCAAAGACATCCCCTGAAGGAATGCATGCTGTGGTGAGCATGCAGCCAACAGCTGTACAGAATGAGGCCCCGGTTCACAAAGGGGAGGTGGAGCCTGCTCAGCCCTTGGCTGAAAAACGGGAGGTTCTGAGAGGAAAAACATCCTCCTCGCAGAGACAGAGGGAAGCACCGGCAGCCTCAGCGTCAGCAGCTACAGCAGCCTCGGCCCAGCTCACCCCCCTCCCTAAACAAGGGGAACCTCCCAGCGTTGCACAACACACGGCTGCTCCTGACACACAGCAGAGCTCAGAGAAGCAGAACAGGTTTTTGGCTAGCAAGGCCCCTACACAGCCTGTCATCACTGGACCCCTTCCTGCCAACAAGATCACCTGCGACGTGCAAAAGCAGTCCACAGACGACGCCATGCGGAAGAAGATTGTTGTGGTCGAGGAAGTGATTGAAGTGCAACAGATTGCCAGTCCTGTTGCGGGAGAACCTGCCAAACCCGCACTGACAGAGGTTGCAGGAGATGATTTGGACTATGATGTCTTGGAAGAACTGGCCATAGAGCGTGGCCTCCTGTCGGATGAAGAGACTTGGGATCATTCACTACAAGAGCCAGAAGGCAAAGTCTTCCCCAACTTCATTGAAGGTATGAGTCCTTTTTCAGTTCTATCACTCTATATTTCAAAATGTGCTTTGATGTCAGTAGCACTGCTCCGGTTTCCATCCGTATTTGCTGTTTGGGAGGTTCAAGGTGACTGTTGTAGTGTCAGAATAGTTGTGCTGTTATTAGACTGTTGGGCATGCTTTTCTTGAGTGGTGTGTAACTTTATATGCATGCTATTTGAGTGAATGATGCCTGAGCTTAATATTAATTGAATGAAACACAAGTACATTTAAAGGTTTTCAAGATTTGTGCAGAGAAGCTTATACTTCTTCGCAATTAAAAAAAAAAAGATATTCTGCAATGCAGGCAGTTTAAAATCAAATTAGCTTGTATAAAGATATGGCCAGTATCAACAACTGTGGAACCTCTTTCAAAATGTTTTGCCTATGCAACAATGCACATCGCTTTGTAGCTGTATTTATTCAACCTTCCTGGTTTATCACTGTTTCTTTCCACATGGACAAATCTGGGGATATTTGCTTCCAGTTATTTCGAGAAATTAACCTCTCACAGTGATTCACACCACACCCACACCCAAAACATCAAACTATGCATGCAATGTTTTGCAACCACCCTTTTGCTGTGCAATATTTTGGGACTAGCTTGTGATTTTGTTGCAAGGTTTCCTTCTTTAAGGGGAATACCAGACTACCAATTAAGCAGCACTGTGTTTCTGACAATACAATGTTTGGAGTCAGTTCTCCCCTCCCTGCTGCCAAACACAACCCATATAGTTGTTCTGTTCTTAGAGTAGAAAAAGAGCTTTTCTAGAGTCATGAAGCAACAAAATCAATGCTGTGTTTAGAGGATCCTGTGTGCCACTCTTGCAGGAAGCACGTGTGTTTGGTTGTTTCCTCTGGATTGTCTCTGGTTTCCAGTGGTCAACTATTAGCTGGAGACTTCTGCTTTGCCGCTTTGTGTATTATGTAATGGGGCATACCACAGAGTAGATGGAGTAGTCCATCCCAAATTCCACCTTTGTCTTTCTCCGCTATTGCTCTGGAATGTGTGCTATAGTTGCCTTTGTTGTTGTTGTTTATATAGCTGTGCATTTCAGTTGATGCTTGTACACTTTAATGGAACCATTGATTTGTTTCATTTTATTTACTGGAACAATCTACTATTGTAGATTTGTTTCACAGTAAGTAGTTAAGATTTGCACACAGTTAATGGGTGTGTTTAGTAGGTGAATCACAGAGGAAAGATCCAAAAACAATTAGCCTTTTGTTTGAAGGTTCTTGTTAGTCATTTCTTCATGACAGGTCTTTTAGGAATCCACAGTTCCCGAATTCCAACCAAACACAATTGGATTTGAAAAAGGAAAAAGCATTTATACAATATTATCCTCAGACTAACTAACTCAAGTCAGATGTGCTTGAGGTTACATGAGAGATCTCTGTAATTTTATGCTGCCCCCTACTGTATCTCCAAAGACCTGTCTATAGAAAATAACCTCTTCCTCTGTAGCACCTTCAGATGAAACTTTTCAATAGGAGCTCAGTCACTTTGTTGTTTACAGCTAGGACAGAAAGTATTTATTGTGCCTAGCACCTTCTGTAATGGTCTTGAAGCAATACTTTATTCATTAGCAATCCTTCAGTTATACGCTGGACATGTATGAACAGAAGTTTGAGACTGTTCTCTGTTCAAGCAGAAATGTGTTGTGCAAGTTTGTATTTCTGTCCGCCTCCACCACGAATTCCTGCATGTTTTTGATGTTGTGACAGGCGGTCTGTGATTTTCTCAATGCCATGTGATTGTGGTGTTGTCCATGAGTCATCCAGTGAATTCAGAGAGCCAAATGAATCTGACCTTTAAGAAGTCTTATCAGACACATTCTGTCGCTGGCTGGTGTTGTGATATCCATAACTGGCCCTTCGCCTCTTGTGAAATGAGTCCTTTTGTAGGGTTGAGTCCGTGTTCTGGGTATAGAGGAAACTATACTTTTTACTACATTGATTTTTGTTCTCAGTTTAGGGTTATTTTTAAAATTCAATTTCTGTTAAGCCCAAATAGTGAGCATACCTTCCTACTTAACCCATCAGATTAACATCTTAAAAGTTCTACAGTAACAGCTTTTTTTTAAAATATGATATTGGAATTTTGTATGTATAAGGCATAATGTTTATAACATATTTAAACTGGTTAATCTGGTTAACATATAACATCCAATGCTAAAGATTCCACACAATCTTATTAATCTTGATTGTCTTTATAAATACAATATTATTCATTGATAACTCATTATGTATTAGAAAGTTAAAGTAAGTTACTCTTAATATAAAAAGTATATTAGTAGAAATTATATTAATGTTAAATATATTACTCATTATGAATGTATGGATTGCAATTGGATTTGAACACAAAATATTATTTACTGATAGTAAAACTAGATGCATACTCCTCTACATCTGCTTGTTTGTTTAATATTTTGTTACAGCTGGTAACATTATGTCCCTGTAGTTGCTAGCTATGTTAATAATAATAAACCCCTGAAACTATATTACTACTTCAACTTTCTGAATTTGGAAAACTAAGCGAGTGTTCTGATAAAAAGCCTTGTCTTTTGCCTTGACCAGTTTTTCCGGAAAAAAAAAAGTCGCTGTCTCGGATCTCATCATGCCTCAATAAACCACATGTGCTTCTACTGACAATAATATATAAAAGATTTATGACACATTCCTCTGAAATAAGAGTTGTTTCGATATCACATGAATCTTTTCTGTCTACAAGGTTAAAATGTCCCCAGGTGAATCTATAATGACGCACAAGAACTCATATTCTTGTGCCAGGAACTGATTTTCCTCGATGCTTTGTCCGTAAAGTTATTTTCTTGTTGTTTCACTGGCTGATACACTGTTTTCAAAGTTAAACAAAACGGATTATTGAAAGACTGAAAACGTATTTTTGTGTAAAACATACTGTTTCAGTCTTTCAGCTTCAAAATTTAACGTTTAATAATTCAATGTGTTACTTGCCGTTGCTTTGAAACAGTTATCACTCGCCGCCAGAAAATTTCACGAATAATTATAAAGTAAATCCAACACCAATTTTTTTTTTTACAACAGGGATCACTGACTTTATGCTACTGACACCTACAGGTGTGGATGCAGCATCAGTGGAAAGCAACTTTGTTTGTGTGTTGATGCAAGTGCAGGATATTTGCAGGCGCATTTACATTAAATCCATGATTATTTGTGTCTATTAATAAGGTCCTATCGAAATAAAGTATTTAATTGGTCATTAGATCTCTGACCCGCCCTATGAGGAATAAAACTTCAAGGCTTCTGATGTGAGTAATCTTAATGTGAGTTTACATCCGTTTAAATATATTTGTCAAAAAAGGTGACACACACATATTTAGGCCTATTCGTAATGCATTAAACGGCCTCAGTGGAGTCAGACTGGGACTAATTACTAGATTTGCTCAGTCAATGATTATCTCATTTTACATATAGTTCCCACGCCAAGTCCTGCAAATTAGATGCCTTCAAATACTGTATTTAATCACGGTCATAAGGACTTTAAACATGAAAATGAAATCAACACTCTGTCAACGCCATAATTCACAATGCCATATGCTAATTTCAGTGGATTGCTGTGTAAAACTCTGCTATATTTAGCATACGTCTGGCATCATGGGTGGTCTCTAAAGACTCATGATATGGCACAAGAGAGAGGCTGAGATTTCCAGTCATGCCAGGCTTCCCATTACCACATTCCATATTTCAATGGAAAAAAATACTAACCCTGGCACTCGTGTGCTTGGGAAGGTCTCTGGTTTGAAAATGTTAAAACCGAGTCTAGCATTGGGAAATATATTCGAGAAGGAATGAAGCTGTTTGGTCTATAGAAACTGGATTTATTTTATTTATTTATTTACATTTTTGCATTTGGTAGACGCTTTCGTCTGAAGCGACTTACATTGCATTCAAGGTATAGGTATAAAAATAGCACTTATTATGAAAATAAAAGAATATACTTAAGTGTAAACTGAATAAAAAGAATTCTGACACTTAATTGCATGTTATTTACAATCAAATAAAAATGTTTAAAGTTATATTAAAGAGATTATACTTTCATGACTATGTTTCTTAACACACTTAAGTACACTTTTAAATCGTTTAATAATCATGCTTTAAAAAAAGTTTACTTATTTGGATGTTACTAACATACTAAAGCACAAGTAAAGTACTTGATAGTGTTATTCAATATTACAGTTAACGTTTATATATATATATATATTTGAATATACTAAATTGCAACTTCAGCTTTACTAATGTGTAATTAAAATATATTTAAATAGGCAATATCATTTATTTAACCAGGCAAGTCACTTAAGAACAGAATTCTTGTTTACAACAACAGCCTGCCAAAATATAAGTTTCAATAGAAATGACACTAAAGTATATTTTAGTTCACCATAAATGCTTGTCAGTACATTCAAAGATGTACTTAAGTCCTACTTAAGTGGGCCAAGTTAAACTTATTGCATTTCAGTACAATTTCAGAACATTTAATACAATTAAGCACACTTCTTTTTCTCAAGGGATTATTTTGTGCCAGTTATTCCTCCCAAACTTAATGAAACGGGCGTCTTGTGTCTAACAGCAGTCGGGAAGGTAAAGCTGAGACTGTGATGCAATATCATAAAATAACTCGATCATCATCCAGGAACAAGCTGGCCACCGCGGGTTTCATCAGTTTGTAACTGTGCCAGTGTGAGCAACTTGTCCTGCATGATATTTATATCCACAGTGAGCTCTTTTCCCCTTCCCCACTCGCCCCCCACCCCGACCCCCTCAGCCTCCGCCCACCTAATTGCAAAGCCACCGGGAGCAGGGCTGACATATCCTAACAGCAGGCATGGCCCGTCAAAAATAAGAAAGGCACAGTTCCGACCAAACAAACGGAGACTCTTTTCTTTGACTTTATTGGCACGCTCTTGCTCTGGTTGTCTGCCGTTGCTGCTCCGCAAACTT